CCTCTCTACTCTCTCATCCACTCTGGACTCGCTCTGTCCTCTGACATCTCGGCAGGCTCGTCAGTCCCCTCCGGCTCCCTGGCTAAATGATGCACTGCGTGCTAATAGAACCGTCCTTAGGGCAGCAGAGCGGAAATGGTGGAAATCCAAACACCGTGACGACCTCCTAACCTATCAAGCTCTCCTCTCCTCTTTCTCTGCTTCGATCTCTCAGGCAAAAAGCACTTTCTTTCAAGATAAGATCCAATCTTCCTATTCCAATCCTAAAAAACTATTTTCCATCTTCTCCACCCTCTTGGACCCTCCAAAAGCTCCTCCCCCCTCCTCACTTCTGTCAAGCGACTTTGTTACCCACTTTGAAAAAAAGGTTAATGATATTCGCTCTTCTTTTTCTGACTCACCTTTACTCACCGCTGGGTCACCAGACCTTCCTTCCACCAACACACTAACCTCCTTTTCCCCTCTCTCTCCAAGTGAGGTTCTTACCCTCATTACCTCTGCCCGCCCTACCACCTGTCCTCTGGACCCTATCCCTTCAAACCTCCTTCAGACTATCGCTCCTGATATTCTACCGTTTCTCACCCATTTCATCAACACTTCTCTAACTTCTGGTCACTTTCCAAACAGTCTCAAGGAGGCAAGAGTAAACCCTCTCCTAAAGAAACCCACTCTCAACCCGTCTGATGTTATAAACTACAGGCCTGTCTCTCTCCTCCCGTTCCTGTCTAAATCACTTGAACGCGCTGTCTTTAAACAACTCTCCTGTTATCTCAATCAGAACAACCTTCTGGATCCGCACCAGTCTGGTTTCAAGGCAGGTCACTCCACAGAAACTGCTCTCATTGCTGTCACGGAGGAACTGCACACTGCCAAAACTGCATCCCTCTCCTCTGTCATCATCCTGTTGGACCTGTCTGCTGCATTCGACACGGTGAATCATCAGATCCTCCTTCGCACTCTCCAAAAACTTGGAGTTTCAGGCTCTGCACTTTCCCTCCTCACCTCATACCTGAAAGACCGTACCTACAGGGTGACTTGGAGAGGGTCTGAGTCCGACCCTTGTCAATTAACTACGGGGGTCCCTCAGGGCTCTGTTCTTGGTCCCCTCCTCTTCTCCTTGTACACAAACTCGCTCGGATCAGTCATTAGCCCGCATGGTTTTTCTTACCACTGCTACGCTGACGACACCCAATTAATTCTGTCCTTTCCCCGCTCAGAGACCCAGGTCGTCGCACGCATCTCTGCTTGTCTAGCTGACATCTCTCAGTGGATGTCTGCTCACCACCTCAAGCTCAACCTTGACAAGACTGAGCTGCTCTTCCTCCCGGGAAAAGATTGTCCAACTCTTGACCTGACAATCAACATCGGCACCTCAGTTGTTTCCCCGACTCAGACTGCAAGGAATCTGGGTGTGACCCTAGATAACAACCTGTCCTTCACTGCAAACATCGCTGCTACAACCCGCTGCTGCAGATACACGCTTTACAACATCAGGAAGATACGTCCCCAGCTGACTCAGAAAGCGACTCAGGTTCTGGTCCAGGCTCTCGTCATCTCACGCCTAGACTACTGCAACTCCCTCCTGGCTGGTCTACCTGCATGTGCCATCCGACCTCTGCAGCTCATCCAGAATGCAGCGGCTCGTCTGGTTTTCAACCTTCCTAAATTCTCCCACACCACTCCGCTCCTCCGCTCCCTTCACTGGCTTCCGGTAACTGCTAGAATCCACTTCAAGACACTGGTACTTGCTTACCGTGCTGCGAATGGATCTGGCCCTTCCTACATCCAGGACATGGTTAAACCGTACACCCCAGCGCGTGCACTACGCTCTGCATCAGCCAAACGACTCGTTGCGCCCTCGCTGCGAGGGGGACCCAAGTTCCCATCGGCGAAAACACGTGGGTTTGCTATCCTGGCTCCAAAATGGTGGAATGAGCTCCCCATTGACATCAGGACGGCAGATAGCTTGCACATCTTCCGGCGCAAACTGAAAACTCATCTCTTTCGACTCCACTTCGAGCGTTAGAACTATTAACGAAGCACTTTTATACTAATAAAGGACTGGATTACCTAAAGCCAGTTGAGTATCACTTGAAATGTTTGGCTCTATGAAACCTGATATACTTATATGATTCTGTTTTCTTCAAGGTTGTGTCTTCCTGGTCGAATGTACTTATTGTAAGTCGCTTTGGATAAAAGCGTCAGCTAAATGCAATGTAATGTAATGTAATAGTCATGCTTTTTACAGTACCACGGCTTCCACAGATGACGTTTTTTTATAGATTTTTTGTCAAAGCACTTAAGATATTCATTGCTATCGGGATGTTAAGAGCATTCCATGGAATATAACAAAAAGTGTATCTCGACCCGGTTTCTCAAACTTACCTACCCCACCTTTAAGGGAGTAGTGCATTATTGAAATTGTAGAAAGTAAAGTATTTTAAGAGGCTAAATATGTGTTGAAGATCATGTTGATAGGTCTACTAGAGAGTGTTCTAATGTATGACTGCAGCTCCTCTGCTCTCCCTCTCTCCTGCCTCTTTGACTTGTCCGTTATGTCGACATTCATTGATCGCGCCACTTCAAAGACTTAAATAGATATTGTCAGGGGCGAGGCTGCATGTTGAGTACTAACTAAAGAGAAGAGCAGAGGAGCTAGGCTTTAAAGGTCATAAAAATCACCCAAGTCAAAGTCAGCAGACCTACAGCTCGTCATAAAAAGTAGGTCTCACCCTGAAACAAAGAGGTGTGTCCTCAAAGTGACCCTCATTTATGATTGATGTCTTCTCTGCAATGCTTGTTTTGAGTGACAGCCAAGCTGCGAGGTGATAACTGTGGCCGTTTCTCAATGTCGAGTAAACCTGCTGCAGAGCCACTATTTCAAATATACCAAGTCATCGATTGGCGCCGAATGCTGGGCATTTAACATGCATTTAAACAGTCCTTCGGCGCCACTCGATGACGTAGTATACTTGACATAGTGGCTCTGCAGCAGGTTTACTCAACATTGAGAAACGGCCAGAGTGTGGGTACGTTGGCTCTATTCGCTCTCATGGCTTCTCCTATCAACCTCGCTCAGTTCTCCCGCTCTACACCTCTCCCTCCACTGGGTGCAAGAATCTGCTTCAAGACACTGGTGCTGGCCTACCGAGCTGTGAAGGGAACAGCCCCTTCCTACATCCAGGCCTTGGTTAAACCATATACACGTGCGTCAGCCAATCGGCTTGCTAATCCATCACTGCGAGTGGGACCCAGGCACCCCTCAAAAACACACCCGTTTGCTCTCCTGGCTCCTAAATGGATCAGGACAGCAGAAACTCTGCATATCTTCCGTCGCAAACTGAAAACACATCTATTTTGAGTGTACCTTGGCAATGAAGTTATTGTTGACATTTTTTTTTAAAAGTACTTTTTGAGTTAATTTAGGCCTTGTTACTAATTCACCAGCACTTACTATGGTATGATCTTGCTTGAAGTGAATATATCTCCCTTGTTATTCAGAGTTAGATTTTGTTATGGTTTTTGTCCTTACTGTAAGTCTCTTTGGATAAAAGCGTTGGCTAAATGATAGATATATATATATATATATATATTAGGGCTGTCAAACGATTAACATTTTTAATTAGATTAATCACAGCTTAAAAATATATTAATCATGATTAATCACCATTCGAACTATGTCCAACATATGCCATTTCTTTATGTATATTGTTGTGGGAATGGAAAGATGAATGAAAGAAGGCGGATATATCCATTTAACATACAGTATCTATGTTTATTATAACATTTTTATGTGTGTCAAAATGAAAGCCCACACATCTATCAATCATCAAACCGTGGGGTCTTAATTCATTACGTGTTGATTTCTATCAACGGGGGAGTAGGCTACTTCAGGAAAGTAGACGGGGGGGGGGGGGCTAGTGGAGTACTTCGTGACCACAGAGTGTGAACGTTGTGATCAGCTGTTTTAGCGCAGTTCTCGAGTGAAGGGGGGGGAGTCTCCCTCCGCAGCCGGTTGGTGTAGTTGTGGCACAATTCCGTTATACAGACCGACGTTAACAGCAGCCCTGTCTGTGCACACGGAGACCGACTGTCGTCCGGTGATCTAACCGCCTTCTGGAAAAGCTTCACAAGTACGTCGGTACGCAAATGCGCTTTGTGACACAAGTGACGGTACGCATTTCAGATTACGCACATAATCTGCGTACCAGTTATGTGCACCCCTGTACTACAGCAAAAGTATTCTCCGTCGGGACTTCCTGCAACAACACCACGCCGTTATCTTGATTCTGATTGGCCAGAAGACATTATCAAAGATGTTCTATTGAGAAGACGATCACTATGTGACAAAAGTTTTCAAAACCGTTTCTGATCTTCGGTATTTCCAGACAAGTGGCTACTGAAATCAATCTTACTAACTGCTGTCTGTGCAATTTACTCCGTGCGAGTTGGCGGACTTTATTTTGCTTACTTTAACATCATTTTTCATGGTGGGGCTAAGCCATTTCTTGGTATGGGTGTAACCTACCCCAGCCACTGGTGGGATGTATGGGGCGGGCCATTCTGCACATGCGTAAATGCGTTAAATATTTTAACGCAATTAATTCAAAAAATTAATTACCGCCGTTAACGCGATAATTTTGACAGCATTAATATATATATATAAGGCCTGCAACCTTGGGTGCTGTGCTCTCAGTGTTTTGTCTCCCTGTTGCTGCCTGTTGGTGTAAGCTGATAAAGGTCTTATAGTGCATTGCCTGTTTTATCTTGTTATGCACAATGTTGATTATTCTCTCAGAACCAGCTAAATACATGGGTCTGGGGAAAGATATTCAGAATTGGTTTGGCCCCGCTGTGCCATGTCGTGGCGGCAGCACATGTCTTGATAATTTTCCGGCCAAAGCTCCAAATAAACCATTAGTGATTGCCATCAAGCTCCAGCTCCCCGTATTTCTCTTGAGTCTCGTCTACATTGCTTCAGAAGTTTCCCTCACACTTACCGTATCGAAAGCGGCTGGTTGTGATGACGCTGCATTGAGTGGGCGGTCCCTGGCCACCACCAGCTCCACCGTCTCTCCAGGCTGCTGCAGGAGGGCGAGGGCCTGCTGGTGACTGATCCCCGGCTCCAGAGGACTGCCGTTAATCACCAGGATCTGGTCCCTCTCCTGGAGACGCCCGTCCCTGCAGCCACAGCATAATGTCAGTCAGGACATTTTGATAGCATGACACAGGATAAAAGGATAGTATCAAAGCAACTTTAGATAGCAGCTCAGCAGCTAGCTGCTTCAATTTTAATAATTGACCTATGATTGTCCACCAGTATGTAATATACAGGTGCTAAAAAATAAAAAATGGGGAGGAGAAAGATGAAGAGGATTAACAGTAGCAGAAGAAACCGTAAAAGAAGAAGCAGAAGATAAGGGGAGAAGGAAGATGAAGAGAATGAGAAGTAGAAGAAACAAGAGGATTCAGAAGAGTAAAAAACAGAAGAAAAAAGATGAGGAATATGAGGAAGAAAGGCACAAGATGAGGGGGAGAAGAAAGAAGAAGAAGACTAACACAATGTACACTGCATTGATATTCTCCATCAGAGTTTGTACATGTTTTAACCCATTTACAATGAATTACCTACACAATATACTATGGCAACCTAGGATCGATTGTTTATTATTCTGTTATCAAAATCGCAGTTTTAAAAAAGCGCAACTCCCAAACTAATTGCAAATATAATTACATTAACAATGACCAAGAAAGCTATACAATCTGAAATACAACTAAAAAGTCATTGGGGGTTCATGCTTGATAAAACCTTTTTTTTGAGGAAATGAAGACCAGCAGTACCTGGAGACCTTGTTTTAATTTATAGGCAACACCAGTAAATCAATAGGCAATATTGGCACTGAATACTGCTGTTATATATTTTCCATAAATCATTCAGCTCTACTGCCAACAGTTCTACATTTTTTATGTATGTACAAATAAATGCCCATCCTGGGTGCTCTGTTGTTCTCCTTCAGGCTCAGGTCCTCCACCAGAGGCCTGGAGCCTGAGGGTTCAGTATCTTAGCTGTTCCTAGGACTGCACTCTTCTGAGGGTTCAGTATCTTAGCTGTTCCTCGGACTGAGCTCTTCTGAGGGTTCAGTATCTTAGCTGTTCCTAGGACTGCACTCTTCTGAGGGTTCAGTATCTTAGCTGTTCCTAGGACTGAGCTCTTCTGAGGGTTCAGTATCTTAGCTGTTCCTAGGACTGCACTCTTCTGAGGGTTCAGTATCTTAGCTGTTCCTAGGACTGCACTCTTCTGAGGGTTCAGTATCTTAGCTGTTCCTCAGACTGCACTCTTCTGAGGGTTCAGTATCTTAGCTGTTCCTCGGACTGCACTCTTCTGAGGGTTCAGTATCTTAGCTGTTCCTAGGACTGCGCTCTTCTGAGGGTTCAGTATCTTAGCTGTTCCTAGGACTGAACTCCTCTGAGGGTTCAGTATCTTAGCTGTTCCTAGGACTGAGCTCTTCTGAGGGTTCAGTATCTTAGCTGTTCCTAGGACTGAGCTCTTATGAGGGTTCAGTATCTTAGCTGTTCCTAGGACTGAACTCCTCTGAGGGTTCAGTATCTTAGCTGTTCCTAGGACTGAGCTCTTCTGAGGGTTCAGTATCTTAGCTGTTCCTAGGACTGAGCTCTTCTGAGGGTTCAGTATCTTAGCTGTTCCTAGGACTGCACTCTTCTGAGGGTTCAGTATCTTAGCTGTTCCTAGGACTGCGCTCTTCTGAGGGTTCAGTATCTTAGCTGTTCCTAGGACTGAACTCCTCTGAGGGTTCAGTATCTTAGCTGTTCCTAGGACTGAGCTCTTCTGAGGGTTCAGTATCTTAGCTGTTCCTAGGACTGCACTCTTCTGAGGGTTCAGTATCTTAGCTGTTCCTAGGACTGCACTCTTCTGAGGGTTCAGTATCTTAGCTGTTCCTAGGACTGAACTCCTCTGAGGGTTCAGTATCTTAGCTGTTCCTAGGACTGCACTCTTCTGAGGGTTCAGTATCTTAGCTGTTTCTAGGACTGCACTCCTCTGATGGTTCAGTATCTTAGCTGTTCCTAGGACTCTGCTCTCCTGAGGGTTCAGTATCTTAGCTGTTCCTAGGACTGCACTCTTCTGAGGGTTCAGTATCTTAGCTGTTTCTAGGACTGCACTCCTCTGATGGTTCAGTATCTTAGCTGTTCCTAGGACTGAGCTCTTCTGAGGGTTCAGTATCTTAGCTACTGCACTCTTCTGAGGGTTCAGTATCTTAGCTGTTCCTAGGACTGCACTCTTTTGAGGGTTCAGCAGAGGTGGGACCAAGTCATTGTTTTGCAAGTCGGAGTCAAGTCTCAAGTCTTTGCGCTCAAGTCCAAGTCAAGTCTCAAGTCAGGATGGGCAAGTTCAAGTCAAGTCCAAGTCCTAAACTTTGACAAAACGAGTCTTAAACAAGTCCTTATGTATTTTCAACAAATGTAATGACATCGATCAACAGAATAATACTTAATAATCAAACTGCTCTTTATTAGTCACATTAATAATTTAATAATCCATTTTCTCTCTAATAAAGTAACGTGTTGTTTTCTATTTTAAGAGGGATCAGTAAGGTAAGGCTACCGTGACGGATTGATTCAGGAGTTTAATGTATAAGATCCCTGATGTTGAGGTAACCAGAATGTTTATTTCCACTGTGTACAACATGTTATAAGGGACCCACAATCTATCTTTATGCAAGGGATAATTTGCAGCGAGGCGGTCTCTATGGGGAAGAGAACACCTGCATCTAGATCCCTCTGCAGGTGGTACTTTAACTATATTTTGATGCTAATACTTTTACTTGTAACATTTTGAATGCAGGACTTTTTATTGTAACTGCGTATTCCTACACTCTGATACTTTTACTCAAGTACAAGATCTGAACTCCCCCCACCTCTGACAATAAGTCCTGAGTGGTTACCAAAAAAAACTATTTTCATTTTACAAATCCTGCACTCAGCTTTGCTTTCTCCAATATCATTGAAAATCAGCCAGATGCTGCTTCTTTTTTCGGTTCTCGCTCATTTCTTGACTTTTTCCGACGCGCTTGCATTTAAATCCGTCTCCCCGTCGCTCTGTGCAGCTGGCCTGTACCACTACACCTGCTGTGCCCCCCACCCTTCTTTCACATAATGGGATGATCCTAGTGTGTCCTCGCATATGATTGGCCGCATGGTGGCCCAGCTAAATAAAGACCCGCCCGCAAGGATTCTCAGCAAGAGTAGGAGCGGCTGAAGATTCTGCTCTCCCCGACGGGAGTCTTCTCTTCTAGCGGGATCTCGCGATCGGCGTGTTGGAGACCTCTGAATTAAATTATCAAGTCACCTCAAGTCAGAAGGCTCAAGTCCAAGTCAAGTTCCGAGTCATTGGTGTTCAAGTCCAAGTCGAGTCGCAAGTGTTTTGTGATTTTGTCAAATCGAGTCTCAAGTCATCAAATTGGTGACTCGAGTCCAAGTCATGTGACTCGAGTCCACACCTCTGGGATTCAGTATCTTAGCTGTTCCTAGGACTGCACTCCTCTGAGGGTTCAGTATTTTAGCTGTTCCTATGACTGCACTCCTCTGAGGGTTCAGTATCGTAGCTGTTCAGCAAAATAACAACATTGTTCTAAAATAATATAATGTAAAATAGACTCTTTATGATTTACTTCTGTTATTACTGGCTGCTCCTTCACTTCTTTATATGTTCACTTACTAGTTATCTTTTCTATCCTGGATGTGGTTAGTGTAATATTTAATTTTGGCTTTTATCTGAACTATCTATCTTTGTTGTAAAACTGTCAATTTACCTACTGTAGGTCGAATAAAAGTCCTTGATTCTGAGCTGCATTGACATGAAGTCTGTAAGATTGGAAAGAAATGGAAGATGGAAAAACACCAGAAGGTTTCATTAAGTATGACTTGATGTTAACTGTAGGAAAGTTAAAGCTGTAGGCTGAACCTGTGTGCGATGCCTCCATGCTGGATCTGTTTGACGAATACGCCCTGACTGCTGCTTCCTGCGGGATTCAGACCGACCACGCTGAAGCCCAGACCTCCAGACAGAGGCCGAGTGAGCTGGCACACCTCTATGTGAAGGCCCTGCATGGACACACACAAACACACACATTTATTTAAAGTGTGTTTATAAAGAGAAGTGCAGGAATGAGTCTTAAAACCCTGAATCCAGCACTTCGGGTTCCCTCCCCTCTATGGTTTTTTGAATGAGTTTTTGGTTAGATGCCTGGAATAAGATCTGTGGTTAATACAAGCTTAAGAGATGTTCACGTTTTTGAAAAATACATGAAATACGTCACTTATTAGCCACTTTAACTAGCTATGGTAGATGCACATCCATCAGATGTAGTTTGTTTATTGTTACTTCAAAACTCATAAAGGTGGTGTTATGGAGATTATCCTGCTGTGACAAAACGTGTAATCAACATGAACATTTGTTCTAAAATTATCCAAAATCCAATGGAAGAATCTCATTGGTTGTTGCAGGCGTGTTTTTTGGCTTCACCCACCTTTGCGGCAACAAGGATCCATTTCTGTAGGTTGAATTCAGATGAGGGCGGAGTCTGACGGATGGGTGGAGACAAGGCAGTGCTCATTAGGGAGGAGGAGCTGCCGACTGGATCAACAGCGCTCATGATCAGCTGACCCTTTTTGGAGAAACTGAACTCACTGCAGGCTTCAGGTGGCATACTGCTCAGCTACAACGTGGAGAAGGAGAGGGAGGAGGAGGGGAGGAGGGGGAGGACAAAGAGGTGAGAGAAAAGGAGAGGAGGAGGAGGAGGAGAAAAACAGGAGGAGGAGTGCGGGACAAGGACGAGGGGAGGAACAAATAAAAAAGAGAAGTAGGAAGAAGAGATAAAGAAGCAGAGGAGGTAGGGACATTTAAAACAAATCAGAGCACAAGAAGGAAGTAGTTTGAAAGGGGAGATGAGGGGATTAAAGAAAATAAGTAGAAGATGTGAACGTGGAACAGAAAGAAGAGAAAAGGGAAGGGGATAATGAAAAGGAAAAGAAAGGGGAGAAGCAGGAATAGGACAAAAAAGAGGAAGCAGAAAAAGAGTGACAGAAAGAGGAGAGAGGTGCGCAGGAGGAGGAGAAAGAGAAAGAGAGGTTTGTCAGATGAGGGAACATGTTGGAGCTCTGGAGCTGTGTTCGGTGAAGCTCTCTGACTGACACACCGTGCATTAAACACCAGCGGACCAACAGCACAGTGTACTGGCTCACTATCACGCTCAGTTTTCTCAGGGTCCCACAAACCAGGATCTGCTCCATGGAGTTCAGAAACCAGGTCACTGTGCAAGTTAACACCTCACTTTCCAGTTTCAGACGGTATTTATTTGGACAGTTTTTGTTCAGCTGCTTGTGTTTACACACGTACATATTGCATTTTGTATAGATATATATACATGTTAGATTAAAGTACAGGCATTGAAAAAGGAAAAACTCATTAACTGTAGCATAATTATAGAAACATTTGATTCAATCAACATATGATCAGTCCTGTTGTAGGTACAACAAGAATGATCAATGGTCAATGAAGGATAATTCATCTCATTTATATATTTTTCTTCTTAAATAAAAAAACACAAAATATCAATATCATCTTATTTATTTTTCAGAAATGTCTACCAAGTTTAAGATTTGATAATTTAACGTTGATAAAGGAAAATATTTAGTGGAAATGTACCACTTCAATCCCAGAGATTATAGCATTTTTTTGTAAATGTAGCACTCTAATCTCTGGAATTCAGATGTATTTTTAGGGAACATTCCCTCCTTGGACCGGCTCTTTCTCACCCCTTATCATTATTATTTTTGACCTAAAAAATCCCCAATGCATCACTTTATTTATTTGAATCACTAGAGGTAAAAAAAAGTATAAGCAGAGCAGGACTTCAGGTTTTACCACCTAAACAACCTCAACTCATAAAGACACAGGAGAGAGAGACACTCTCTATATGCAACGACATTGTCGACAGAAGAGAAAGACATGTAGTTAAAAAATGAAGCAGCGAAGCCTGGGGGTAAGTGGAGAGAAAAATAAAATCAATAGATTCCTCTGCAGGCCCTCTCTCTCTGAACAGGTAATGTATTAATGACCTTTCCACTCACATTGTGGAAACTTATCAGTCTGCAGCTTATTTAGGCCGGGGCTGACGGAGCAGGATCCAGAGCCATTTCATCAATACGCCTCGACAAGGCCGTTACTCAAACCAAGACACTAGATATTAAAGCTTGATAGATCCGCAGAGAGCCGTGGGGAGGGGTAGGAAAATAAATAAAGAAAGAGAGAGAGAAGTCCCCGCTTCATATACCCTCCACCGGCTTCCACCCAACACTTTCATAGACTCAGCTCTGACCTTCGCAGCACTTAGAATATGAAGCCCGGCGACGGTTATTGCCATTATCTTAATTTGGCCTGCAGATTGTTTATTGTAAAGGCTCGGCGTCAGTACGGGCTGGAGCTGCATACAGATGAGGGGGGGTGATTCAATGTCCCCCCTTAGCCCCACTGACAGGTCACGCTGTTGGACAGGAGGCAGCAGTGTGCAGACACCTGATAGGCTGTGGACACCTGGGCGGAGATACACATGTCGGACTAATCGAAAATATTTATTAGTCAGCAAAATGATCTAAATGAGTAAGCGACTCACAGTTCTGACAAACAATCAGAATACTGAGAGAATGAATTCCTTTCATACTGTATAAACTAGTGTCATGTGATGTAGTGCGTTGCCTTCCCTAGTCAGCCTCCTGAAGCGGACTGAATAGAATATCTTTCACAATGCCTGTTTCATGTATAATGTAGTCAACATGCTCACCAACAGACTGACCTTATTCCAAGTTAAGGAGAATTTAGTGGTTTCGGTTGCATCATTTTGTTTTTAGGGTATTTATTTAGAGTTACACATATTTGATCTTGTAAATGTTTCTGTATGATACATGAATTATCTCCCATTGTAGTTGTGTTGGTCATTTGTATTGTGATTACTCTCTTGTTTAGTGTCTGGGACAGTATTCTATAGCTGGATGCTTTATTTGACTGTCCCACTTTGCATATCTCCATTCTGTCTGGTGACGTGAGTCGTGAGGGATTAAAGGCACAATGTCAGTACAGGCTACAGCTTCTTAAGAAGAACGTCTACTAATGAGGCTCCTTTTTCTGGTATGTCAGTATGTTTTAAACTATTTGTTTGTACGTTTCAATAAGACAAATGGGTTTGGTTCCAAAGAAAGTACTTCCAGTTGCTGTGTAACAGAAAGAAAAGTTGATAAGTGATGTTGGATTTAGGATTTGAAAACCCAAGTTTAAGACTGGATGCGTAAAGCTAGTTAGTATTGGTAAATATCTTAATTTAGACTCTTCCTATAACTATAGCATTACGGCCCTAAACTCTTCGGGAGGATTGTGACCGGCCTCTATCTGCGACAGGCTGAGGTGAATGTGTGGCCCGTAGCTCCAGTGTATCTCAGACGTGTTTTAAGCAGTGCTGCTGGGGTGTGAGCTGCAGGTTGCTCTTTGTGTGTCACCTGGCTGCGGAGCTGTTTGATGGAGTGCTGCAGGGTGAGGATGTGGCTGAAGAGGGGACTCTGCAGGGTCTCCCTCAGGTTGCCCATGGTTTCACTGTGGGTCCACTCCTCCCTCTGCAGCAGTTTGGCCTGCAGTCGCTCCAGAGCTCCCAGAACCTGCTGCCGCTCCGCTGAGGACGCTGAACACAGGACGCATTCATTAGACAGCAGTAACTACACAAAGAGAATGCAATTCCAACTGATGGCTGTTTGAAATGTTAAACAGGTGAGAGGATTTACCTGCTGGGACATTTTCAAACATTGTCCTCCCTCCCTCTCTCTCTGTCTGTCGTTCTGGACCAATCTGAAAAGAGAGACAGACAACAATATTTCACATTTATTTCAAACACAACACATAACAGACAGTGTGTGTGTGTGTGTGTGTGTGTGTGTGTGTGTGTGTGTGTGTGTGTGTGTGTGTGTGTGTGTGTGTGTGTGTGTGTATGAGTCTACCAGTTAATAGTGCATTTTCTGTTTTGCGGTTTTAAAGCTTTAAAAAAAAGCTGCAGTTGTGTCACAACCAAAGAAAACAACTTCAAAGCAGAAAAACACTTTCTTTTTCCTGACTGGAAACAGTGTTGGTGTTCAACAAAGAAAGAGTTCAATGTGACTTTGTTGTACTCGGGAATAAGTGCTGTCAAAATGAACATTATACTTTTTTCTTGGCACGTTAAAAATTAGGAGACTAATTGTGATATCTTCAAATACAACTTTACCACAGGGCTTTACTGAATGGTTTAGTTTCATTAGCATTTGCTTGTTTTAAGCTGTTTTTTATTGCATGGTGAAAAACACTTTTAATCGTGTTTCAAATGTGTGTCAAAATACACTTTCCATATTTATCCTAACAAGAAGCTGTTTGAAAGATGACTGCACTTGAGGAAAATACAAAGTCATCATTTAAGAATGTACAGCCAAGACCAACTATATACACCTGACTATATTGCTGGAGGGAAAATGGTGGAGAAAGGAATCTACAGGAGCTAACATTTAAACATCTGTGCAACTAAATCACGAGTGAGCTTCATTCATTTGGATGCATTCTGCTTATGGAGTCTGGCAAGTGCTGCTTTTGCTAGAACATATTTAAAACATATTTAAATGTTTTGCAGTTTTTTATGCAATGGGCACTTTAACTCTGAAAACTTTAGGTACATTCTCCTAATCGTACTTAAATACTTTTACTGACCGTACCATTCTCAATTCAGTACTTTTACTTAAAATTGAGTATTTGTACAGTTACTCAAATAAATAAAGTGCTTTTTGTAGTGTACATGTGCTCACAGCTGATCCCAGCACTGACAGGCTGCTAGTGGAACAGGCTGCTGTGTGCTGCGTTCAGGTGCCTGTCTCAGGTTTCTCAGGTTAAAATCCTCGTTATCAGCACGGCTTGTTTACACAGTCAGAGCAAAGCAGAATCCACACACACACATGGTAAAACAACCAGACCCACATTCTCCAACCGGCACATCAAACAGAAACTGACCTGCTGACATGAAACCTCCTCACACCTGTAACCTCACCTGAGAAACCAGGAAGTGAAACTCAAACAACTCAAAAGAGAGGATGGTGAATATTGAAACCATACATTTGAACTAATCAATATAAATACTTTCTCAAATCCATATTGTGTATATTCTACTATCCTAAAGACGGCTGACAGCTTAAAATATTGAAGTAAATCTGTTGCAAGCAGGTTCAATTCGCAACAGGTGCATCAAACATTATTAAACCAAAGAAAAAACATTTAAAGCAGCCGCTACTTCTTACAACAAACGTGTTCTGATTTGCGACAAGACCAAACTTTACTTATCCGTGTGTTTATAAACCAAAACTGAGATTAAACAGCAACCAACTATGTATTGTCCAGCGTGTTAACACACAGCACACAGCTAACAGCTGGCTACACGTTAGCATGCTAAGTTAGCTTGGTAAATGGCGTCTAAAAAAGAGTTTTGAATAAGTTAGAGCAGATACACAGTCTGAGGATAGAGCTGAAAGTCAGTGAGGAATTCTAATAAAACAGAGAGTTTTTAAAGGGGGTTTGAACTGATGTAAAAACTCACATGAAGTGAATCCAGTTTGGCATCAGTGTTGCTTTAATGTTGCGTTCAGGTGCTATCGGAAGTATTTGTCCAGTGCATGTTTAGCACAAGTAGAATAATGGTGGATGTTATTAGCATCATTTAACAACCGAACGCGAAGACAGTGTGAGGCACAATGATGTGTTCATGTCCATATTATTTGCTTTACATATGTTACACATTTTTTGTTTTTGCTTCATGCGATATTTTTTCTAATAATATCCGTTTTTTCATAATATATTAAGTTATTTTAAGTACACTTACTCAATTAGTGTACTGTACGTTTTGATGTCCTTATACATTGCTGGAGTATTTGCATATATTGCTACCTTTTACTTCTTATCGAAAATATGTATGCAGCGATTGCTAATTAAAGGCGCAAATATATGCAATTAAACAAAAATACAACCAATACAAATCATCATTAGGGATAACATAAACAACGTACAATGTTGTCACAGGTTATAAACAGGTTCATGTCAATTGTCATTAATATAAATTGCAAACACGAGAATATACACCTGCCAAAACATAAACACGTAAAAATAGTTGAGAATCATAGAAACCAAACAAAAAAAGGTCAATGACAAAGGTGCAATGATCACAGCTGAATATGTATACATATATATATACATATTACACTATTTTGCAAAGTTTACTAAGTTGTTGGAAAAGTTGTTTTAATGCCACGACGTGAATTTGCTTTGCTGGTAAAGTGAAAAAATAATTTGCACCAAAAGTTCCAAAATTACTATGCTTCTAAAAGTCCCGAAAGCATCATTGTGTGACGTAACAGAATTAGACATGGCGTCCTCCTGGAGACGGCTGGTGTGTTTACGCTCCGGGGTTTGGAGCCTCATATTTTACTCTGTTTACTCTCATTTAAAGCTCGTTCTGGCGGAGGAAGTGGATAGCTGCGACAACCTCAGACTGGGACAGTATCCTTTTATTACTGCTGACTCACGTTACTCTGAATGAACAGAAGACCAGTCACCTTGTTCGCTAACATTAGCCGCAGCTAGCTAAGCTCTATGTAATGTTAAGGTATCAGCTAAAATAACAATACACATTACATACAGTGTTATAATAACACATGTTAGCTGTGTTGTGTTATAAAGTGCTTACTTTGGGAATAATTAACTGCTTTAGAGACAGGACGCTGTATGCATTTCATTTCAAACCTTTATTTATACAGATAAATCCCATTGAGATCATTGATCTCTTTTTCAAGGGAGACCTGATTTACTTCTTAACCCCCATGTAGAAGTGTTTCTGTTCTAATAGGATAATAACAACATCCGGTTTATATATGTTCTCATTGCACTTCCACATCCTTTAAGTATAAGATACGATTTACTTTATTGATCCCAAATTGATTTGTTTGCGTTGCAGCAGCATAAAAAACAAGCCATTGCACATCATTGTAAATTAAAAGAGTTTAAATAAACAATTCTAAAATGTAAACATCTCAAAATAGAAATAAAACAGCATCAAAAAGTAGAAAATATAAAGATGACTGTGAAGATAACAAATCTATAAACCAGTGGTAACCAACCTTTTCAAGCTCAAGATCACTTGATCAAGTTGCTCTATCAGCCTGCCTTTAATGAGACTGCTGTGACTGCACATTATCTGTAAGCCTTTTGAAATCTGGCTGATATTAGTGATGGCCAGCCGGAGGCAGTCAGTAAGATGTGCGTCAGTCATACGAGTTCTATACTTGGATTTAATTATTTTCATTTGTGAAAAGGCCGTTTCACATAAGTATGTGGAGCCAAAGTAGGCCTTCAGTTTAAGCGCACATGACACAATCAGTGGATACCTCTCTCTACTCACGAGTGACCAAAAGTCCTGATCTCTTGCTCTGGCCTTCAATTCAATGTCGCTTTGCATTTCAATGATCTCCGTGTCAACACCCATATGTAATGTAAACACCTCCTGCATTTTAGCTGACAGCTGTTCAATGTCAACGCTGAGGAAAGGGTTTGATACAAAACCAACTACTTGCCCCATGTCTCGTAGCTCCACAAATCGAGCACCAAATTCTGATGTCAGTTTGTTCAAATGGGCGAAGAATTGTTCAGGATGGAAAGCAGTTTTGTCTGTGAGGTTTTGTGACACCTTTTCAAGATTTGGGAAGTGTGTCAGCCTCGCATGTCTTAACTGAGTGGTCCACAAACTGATCTTCACTTTGAATGCCTCCACTGCGCTAATCATGTGACCAAGCTCTCTGTCTTTCCCTTGCAATTCTCGGTTAAGGTCATTGAGTTTTGCAGTCAGATCGGTAAGGAACCCCAAGTCCAATAACCAAGTATCGTCGGACAGCTGCTCATACTCCTCGTTCCTCGACTTCAGAAAACTGATGATCTCTGGCAGCAAATCCAGTAAACGCTGGAGCACCTTGCCCCGACTGAGCCACCTGAGCGTGAAGGATCAAATCTCCATACACAGAGTCCAGCTCGTCCAATAAAGACTTAAATAGCCGGTGCTGGAGTGCTTTTGCGCGAATTGAGTTGACAATCTTAACAACAACATTCAATACATGTGACATGTCAATTGCTTTAGCTGCCAATGCCTGTTGATGTACCACACAGTGATAGTTTACAAATGGTGGAAAGTCTGGGTCTTTTCTGCACAGCGCAACAAATCCTGAACGAACACCGAGCATCGCTGGTGCCCCATCGGTTGTGAAGGACACTATTTTATGAATGGGAATCTTGTACTCACGAACATAGTCCTTGAATGCCTTGTACACATCCTCACCCCTGGTTCTTTCTTTCAATGGGATAAGGGCAAGAAAGGCCTCCTTGACAGTCACATCTGTGAAAACCATCCGGACAAACACACCTAGCTGGGATGTGTCTGTGGCATCGGTAGACTCGTCAAATTGAACTGAAAAGTATTCCGAGAGAGACAAGTCTTTTAATACTTGCTGGGATACATCTTCGGACAATGACTGGACTCTTCTGGCTACAGTAGGTGCACCAAGTGGTACACTTTTTATCCTTGCTTTTATGTCCTCTTTGTTTTTGAAATCCTCAAACAAGACGTCAACTGTGGCGCTCATTGCTTCTTTAATCATCTCACCATCCGTAAATGTTTTTTTGTGCTGAGCCAAAATATGGCTAATCAATCCGGAGGGACGTTTCTGTAGCTGCATTGCTCTTTGCTGTAGGCGCGATGAAAAGCGACTGCTGTGCTTTCAGTCCTCTTTTCAGTTCATCAATTATTTTGGTTCTTAATGCGCTGTTGAGTGGATATGAGTCTTTGAATGTACCATGGGTGCTCGCATGATGGCGCTCCAGGTTGCCCCGTTTCGCCAAGGCTACCGCCTGTTGGCATATGAGGCATACAGTCTTCTTCCGCTGATGTGAAAATAAATTCATGCTCCCATTCCGGGTGGAAATAATACGTTTTTGATTTCTTTTTCGCCGGACCCTCAGCCATATCGATGTTGGTTAAAGGTTAGCAGAACTTGGTACAGTTTAAGTTACTCCTCAAGATGACCGTTAAGATACGATTTTTAACCCCACCCACAATTGCATGCAGCAATTCATAGACGTCAGCATATCTAATAACCAATTGGAGTTTGTAAAATGACCTGTGCGTGATTCAAATCACCAAGCCAGAGCTAGCTCTAAAAAGTTTGTTTGAAAATATTTTTATTTTGGAAAATATATTTCCTACAGAAAAAAAGGACAGTAAAACAAAGTGATTCAGAAATGTGTGAGCTGCTGCCTGCTACTCGTCCCCGCAGACCCACCCCCTAGTTACTCAGAGCTCCATCAGAACAAAGCTGTCTGCCGTCTGATGCTCTATTGGACACCATGTTATAATGTTTGGAGTAATTATACCGTTTTTGACGAACATAAATGTTTTTTCTGGCATCACTTTCAAATGTTACAGGGACTGGTATGAGGGCGCAAATGTTCCAAGTTCAGAACAATGTAGTTTGCTCTGCTGTTGAGTTCTAGTGTTATAACAAGCTGTGTTCATATGTAGTTCATATACACATGGCAAAGTATTAGAAACACATTCCAGTATAGACTGATAGCATTTAGTGGAGAGCTGTTGGTTAGACTGAGTTTTAATGTTGGGCGTTTTGAGAAGAATGGGAGTGAGTTTCTGAGTTAGCCACACCATCCAATCACAGCTGCACAAAAGGTAAAGGGAGTAGACCAATATCTGTATATACATGTAAGTTAGGTAGGGGATTATAAATATGATAATACATTTGATAAAACAAGAAAGAAAAAGACATAATCATGTATAACACTGCTCAAATGAAAACAGACTCAACAAAGCGCTTCACCATTCAGGATACTATTAAAAGATCATCAACAGAAGAAAAGAATGATTCTGATGTAACATCTGAAAGAATATGAAAGTGAGTGAAAGCAAGTAGAATGCAGAGTAATAACTCAAAGAGGAAACACTAATGATGTGCTGTGTCAGCTGGTTGGGAGTCCTTCACTCTCCTCATGTATCTCTGCAAAGATCCCAAGATAGATGAATCCACCCAGGAGCCGGAGAACTGCAGGGACGTGACGGCCTGGGGTGAGAGGTCTCATGATGTCTTCTTCACCATGTTGTGATTTGACATGGTCTCACAAACACGTGATGTTCATCTTTCAGTCCTGCAGGGTAATTAGGGAAAGGTGATACATAGGAAATGTTCCACGTCATCGTATCAGATGTGTTGACCCTGTCTGTATCATCACTTAACCTTTGACCTCCATTGTTTATTATCTTTACTGTAGTTTGTTTCGGTTAAAGCCAGAAGATTTTCATTTCACTTTGTGTTCAATTGCCTTTGTAATGTTTCTGCATATAACAATGATTACGTTTAAACAAAATAAGACTAGATGTAAGAAAACTAGTCTTCTGATCAAACACGACAATAAACTGAATATTGTAAATATTGATTGAGAAATCCTAACTGTGTGTGTGTGTGTGTGTGTGTGTGTGTGTGTGTGTGTGTGTGTGTGTGTGTGTGTGTGTGTGTGTGTGTGTGTGTGTGTGTGTGTGTGTGTGGTGTGTGTGTGTGTGTGTGTGTGTGTGTGTGTGTGTGTGTGTGTGTGTGTGTGTGTGTGTGTGTGTGTGTGTGTGTGTGTGTGTGTGTGTGTGTGTGTGTGTGTGTGTGTGTGTGTGTGTGTGTGTGTGTGTGTGTGTGTGTGTGTGTGTGTTTACAGTTGAGTGCCTCCCAGCTCCAAACATCAGCTGTCGGCTCTCTAACGGGACAGAGTTCAGGTTTAGCGGGGAGGAGGTGGGCTTCAACAAAACCATCCCCTGCAGAAACGTGTGAGTTTCACACACACACACACACACACACACACACACACACACACACACACCACTAGTTCCCTTTGAGAGGGTAAACTGTCTGCTGCAGGATTACTTCAGATATTTGTGTTACTTTTATGTGGAACATTATAATGGTGTTTTGACAAATGCAATAACATGCTAAATGATGCTTATAATGATTATATTTGATTATTATTATCATTATTGATCACTGTTCAAATCTGAATGTATTCCCTCTCAGGAGTGGTTATTCCTACAAAGTAGCCGTGGCTCTATCTCTGTTCCTGGGCTGGCTGGGAGCAGACCGCTTCTACCTGGGATACCCTGCTCTAGGTACACATACACATTCACATACACACACGCATACTAACATGATGTTTCATTTGATGTTGTTGTTTCATAGCTGTGGCACAAACCAAATTCATCTCCTTGTTGTTTCAGATAAAGAATTGGCCTCTATATACTGTATTTTGGTGAATGACAGAAAACAAAGTCATAGAAATGACTGGGTGATAAAAGGATGTCCCTAATGTACATGATAAAATCTTATAATATCATATTAATAATAACAAAATAATAACGATGATAAAAATAAATGATTGCAATGTTTTGGAACATCCTGATATTCATTTATTTTCTGATATTACCTATTTTATAAGAATTGGGATAATTATAAATATGGATCAATATAAAAGCTAAATGTGATTTTATGACTGTATAGTCCAGTCTTAGAAAGAAACCTCAACAGTTTGTGTACTGCAAAGATCAAGAATCTTATTCAAATTGAAATGTAGAAATATATGAATTGCGATGAAGGCAGTAATCTGAGTAACTGAAAACACACACAAACCCTGAAAGAAAACAACCTTTTGTGACTGGACAGACAGATACCACAGGAGGGAGGAGAGGAAGTTTGATTGTATGGATTTACTTTGTACTACTCTTGATCTAAAGAACATAGTAACGTTCACACTTTCCACTTAAAGTCAATTTAGAAGAGAAATTATCCACTGTTTTCCAGGAGCCGCCTAGTGGTGGTTAGAGGACCTGCAGCTGATCGCGCTCAGCTTCTGAATTCATTAAGCCTCTGTTTTGTGGTTGAGCTACTCACAAAAGACCCCACAGAACAACAGCTATGATCAACAAGCACAAGTTAGGGAGCTTCTTTGAATGAGACATCTGCAGCAAGACAAACGCTAAAAGGCTTCAGGTGTGTGTGTGTGTGTGTGTGTGTGTGTGTGTGTGTGTGTGTGTGTGTGTGTGTGTGTGTGTGTGTGTGTGTGTGTGTGTGTGTGTGTGTGTGTGTGTGTGTGTGTGTGTGTGTGTGTGTGTGTGTGTGTGTGTGTGTGTGTGTGTGTGTGTGTGTGTGTGTGTGTGTGTGTGTGTGTGTGTGTGTGTGTGTGTGTGTGAGCTCCACAGGTCAGACAAAAGATTGAACAGTTAAGTGTTCTGATCGCACAAAATACATACTGCAGAGCTCAGTACCAACACAATTGAAACAGAAGAGTTCTCCTAAGAGTGCCGCTAGAGTTTAAATCATAGTAATCACAATATCTGAAAAGCTTCATCTTCTAAGGAGCAGGAATAGGATCAGTAAATTAATAAAATATGTAATAATCTTTTGTGGCTCTGGCACAATAACTTCCTTAAAATAATGCATTGTCTTTTCTTAAGAGAATGACATGTAGGGCTGACACATATACACATATATATATATTAAATGTTTATGAATCCTGTCTCTCAGGACTGTTGAAGTTCTGCACTGTTGGTTTCTGTGGAATCGGCACTCTGATTGACTTCATCATGATCGCCATGCAGGTGAGTCCCACCCTCCCCCAGCCTGTAAACAAACAAACATTGCTCAGGTCATCACATGCACCAACTCTCGGGGTCTTCCCAAAGAATACTTTTCATATAATCATTGAGGAGTTTAAACACACATCTGCAGTAGTTAATATTGTTAAATGTAACCACTTGGTATATCAATATCAGGGGGAAAAAGTTATTTTGTTGTCAAGATAATAAGTGATTAGATCCTTATTTGACCGATCTTACATTCTTCATGTTATGAAGAAAAACACTCTTCCTGCTTATGAAGACCATGATGGTTGTTGAAAGCACCCTAGAAAGCATGTGAGTATTTTTAAAAACTATTAGAGGACATGACATGACATGTCATGCTTTTCCGGTTATTACCCGTCCCCTTGTGTGTTATGTAGCTTTCTCTGCATGTGAACGGTCTGCAGAGTCACAAACCCTCAAAGTACACCCTGTAGCGAGTAAAACTCTAACACAGAAAAGACTCACACTGTGAGTGCGAGTGTGTGTGCTCAGGATAAAGTGTGTGTAACTAGTTAACTAGTAAGGTAAAAACAATTGTACTAGTGTATCTAGTGGACACTTTGGACCTCACTAGTTAACGTGTAGACATTTTGAGCCTCACTAGTCAGTAACTAGTAAGGTCAACTAACTAGTGCGCTGCAAAAGCTCTGACATGTTAACTAGTTACACAAAAGAAGCACAACTAGTTAACTAGTGGCATACATTTGTCTACACTAGTTAACTAGTAGCACCCAGAATCACTCACTAATGAACTAGTAAAGGCACAAGGTTCACTAGTTAACTAGTTGATGCCTCTTTTGACCTTACTAGTTAACTAGTGGGACTAAAAACGTCTACACGTTAACTAGTGAACCCTTTGCCCTTTACTAGTTAACTAGTGAGATACATTTAAATTCCACTAGTGAGGCTTAAATAGTTCACTAGTAGCACTAATGGGTCCCAAATGTGCACTAGTCACACTAGTTGCACAGAATGCTAATGAGGAGGAGGGGAAAGAACGCATCGAGGTCTCCCATTGGCCCTAAGCTATAGAGCGCCACCCAGCCCAAATAGTTTCTTTAAGAGCTTAAATACACTGTGTTTTAAAATACAGTCATATGACCATATTTACAAAAATATAAAACAAAAGTATTTTTGTAATTATGATCATATGACTGTATATCCAATTAGGTAAGAACATTGAAGACTTTGTTCAAATTAGAAAGTTGCCTTAGAACTACAGACAGGAATATAGATCCTCTTTAAAACATTTTGTTAAGCTGCAATTTGAAAGGTGCTGGATTAGAATAGCATTGTGATAACAGAGTGACATTATTGATGGATAGAAAGAGGAAGTAACCCTCTTCGGATCACAGCGTTCCTGACGACGCTGAAGTTGGCTTCTGATTCAGAGCTTCCGATTCGGCAGTTAAGGGGAAAGTTAAGGGACATTTAATTTACAGCGCTGAGCGAACAATCCTCCGTGTGTGTACCTCTTAAATCGCTGCATAGCCGATTTATTTGGACTAGATGATCCCAGAGAGTCCAAACATTCTTTATAACACAGTTTTAGATTTGTGAAACCTTGATTATATTTTTGAAAATACAAAAAATGGAGATTTCAGTGCTTTTTTCGCATCTTGACCACATTAGACCAGGTCCTGATCTAAAACCCTAAAAATCTAAAAATGTTTGGTTTTTGTGACCAGTTAGACTCATTAAGGCCATTGTTTCCCTTTATAAGTGCAACTACGTGGATTGGAGTCTTTCAGAGCCTGTCACAGTTCCAGGTCATACCAGTGTAAAGCTATATGTACATTAGTAATCTATGTCAAAAAAAGTATAAACAGCATCGATATTAGTGCTGTGTCGACGCGTCGACTTCAAAATATCGTCGACGACATATTTCCGCGTCGACGCGTCGCTATACACACGTGGGTCACCCAAAGCAACAAGCAGTTCGCAATCGCACTTCAAACACAATGGAGACTGAAACGGCTACCACCTCCTCCTCACAGGATTGCGCACGAAGCCCCCAAACGAAAACATCTCGCCCTAGGTCTTCAAAAGCATGGGAATATTTTAAAGTTAGTCCAAAACGCAAAGATATTTATATATTTATATCTCACTTAGACTGCTGCATAGCCTAGCAGAAGCAGCAGCTAGCTGTGGTGGCTACCATTAGCAGCTAGCATTTGCTCTCCGATTTTTACATAAAATGGAATTATGGATTATAAATTCAATCATTTTTTTATACATAGACGTTAAAAACCTATGGATTAACCGATTCAGCCGCGTTTTTTCTCATTTTAATGCCATTGAACACGTCTTTTGATCAGATTGACAGCTACGGTGGTAAGACGATCTCCCTAGAAGCTCTGTGAAGGTACGTGTTGTGATGACTGTATTTGCTTCCCCTGTCGCGAGTCCGGATCACTCAGTGATGATACTATATACCTACATAATCTGTGGAGTCTCAGCTTTAATCGGATATATTGTATGTGCAGCTACGATAAGTAATAAGGGTACTTTTATCTTGAGTTCTGTGCCAATGTCCGTTAGCATTTTTCGCTCAGGGGTCATTTAGATGCTTCTTATGAGACTTGTGTTTTGTTTTGGTAAACATGGTTTGTATCGTCAATTAGCTGAGATTATTTCCGTTAATCTGGTATAACACATTAATAGGTTCTTAAATATTAAGATCCCCTGAGACACAGTATCGTGAAACAAATTTTTTTTACATTACGTTTTTTTTACATTACGTTTTTTATGAATTGAACAACAGAAAAATAATCGTTAGATTAGTCGACTAATCGATCAAATAATCGCCCGATTAATCGTTTTCAAAATAATCGTTTCCCCCCAGCACTAATCGATATCAAAACTTGCTAAACATGCTCATGTCTTTATTATATTTGTGTTGCAAAGGTCATGCCACAGTCTGACAAGCATAACTTGTTTAAGAATTCAAAATGCAGCTCCCACTTCAATCAATAAAGTATTCCAAATATATATCATGTGCAGTGCTCATTAGTAGCCGTCATCCCATGCAGTTTAAATATACTGGGACCCCAGCAAGGCAGCGTTACACTGGTGAGTACATGTAAAAGGATTTCAGGAGCCTTTTGCTTCATTTATATTATTTTAGTGGTTTGATTAAGAGTACTTTTTAGAAATTCTAACAATGTATTTTTGAAAATGTATGAAACAAAAAAAAGTCTCCATACCTGTTAAATAACAAACTAACTTTATACGAATAAATTCAAGATGTTTTTTAAGATAGACTTTATACATGTTCTGAAGCCACTGTGGCCTCAGGATGCTTCCGACACAACATTCAATAGCTTTAGCCAACGAGCTGCTGGGTCAGGTGAGGCTGCAGCAGCTCTGTGCCCTGATGTGAGCTATCTGTCTTTAGGAGTATGTGGTGTTCTACGGCTCTGTGCCTGTTAGCATGTTAGCCTATCTCCTGCTGGGTGACAGACCCTGCCGTTTGTGATGGACTCTTACCGCTGATGCACTGGCAGAAAGAACATCATTGCGAGGCCTGGTCTCCTGAAAAGCAGGTGCAGCCTACAAACAAGAGCAGGGAGGAGGAGACACATGTTGGCACAGTCATGCATTACAATCATAAAGCAGAAGAACAACAACAGTTAGCCAAAAGCAAAGCAGCATGAGCAGAACCCTGAGAACACGCTGTGGGGTCTCATAGCAACGCGGTGCAAATGATTTATGACTGGATCATTTATTAATTGCTGTTAAAGCATAAACAGTTAGAATGCTTTAGTAAGTTTTGCTTTCACTTTAATAAAATGATCCTGTGAGGATACTGAGTTCATTTGAAGCAGACTCAGTGTCAGGGTTGGGAAAATAGAACCCAAATGCAGTAAAAGGACTAAAAGAACAGGTAACAAAAAGCGAGCTTTATTTCCCAAAGCTGAATGACAAAAGAAAACAAGGAACAACTTAACATACCAAAATGGGGGGAGTACGAGGAAGGATCAGGACAAAAAACCTCAGGAACAAACATGGAGCGTGACAGGTAGCATGGACAAGAGCAAATAGACTAACAGGTATCATATAGACGAGAAACGACGACGAACAAACATGGTGCACAGGGGAAGACAAGACCATGCCAAAAAAGTACTGAAATCTCCCTTTTTTGTATTTTCACAAATAGAATTAAGGTTTCACAAATCTCAAACTGTGTTATGAAGAATCTTTAGACCCTCTGGGATAATCCAGACCAGATTTGATGAGTCTAGGTATAGTGGTTTTAGATCAGGACCTGGGGCCTCATTTATAACGCCGTTATAACCTTCACGTGGGAAGGTTGCTTACGTAGTAGAAATCCAAAAAATAGGTACAGAAATGTTCCCACATTTTCCGATTCACCAAACATTGCGTACCGGCGAGGAAAGTGCGTACAGCACTTCCTACGCCGGTTTCCCTTTATAAATCACAATTGACTCGAAATGCGGTGCAGCTTTTGCGGGCTTCACGTAACGCCCATATTTGCCTATAAATAGTCAAAGAAACGCCCATTCATTCATTCTGACTGACTGCATGAAGAAGATCGCAGGAAATGACGACAGCACAGCTAAAAAAGACTTCTCACACCGTGTCAGATTGTGGTTATTTTGGGGAGGTGGAGATAAATCATATTGTTTGGTGGATGCAGTTTGAACCAGAGTAGCAGCATGGAGGTCGGATCGTCACCAAAATAAATAAATAAGTGGTCCGAAAAAGGTTGATGACAAAAACAATACACATAGCCTTCCTCAGGCAGTGTGTTTGTACCGGGGGCAGGAGACCCCCCCCTTGATGAGAGACTGTAAGAAGTGATCGGGGAATCCCTCCGGAGTGGAGTCATGACGACTGGATCTGAATAATGTTTTTGTATTTGGTGGTTTGTGTCCTAGCTGTCGATCAGCTGTGCGCAGCGTCTCCACTGCAGCCTGTGCATCTCAACCTCCCCGCAGCAACTCTATATCCAC